TGACTCGGACCTCACCTTTCTCCCCCACATCCAATCACTATCCAAATCATGCCGCCTCCACCTTCGTAACATCTCCAAAATACGCTCCTTCCTCACCAAAGATACCACAAAATTGCTCATCCACTCCCTTGTTATCTCTCGTCTTGACTATTGCAACTCCCTCCTCATTGGCCTACCTCTACACAGGCTATCCCCTCTTCAGTCTATCATGAATGCAGCTGCTAGACTCATCCACCTAACAAACCGCTCAGTGTCTGCAACCCCCCTCTATCAATCCCTGCACTGGCTTCCTATAGCCCAAAGGAAAAGATTTAAAATATTAACAACCATTTACAAAGTCATCCACAACTCTGGCCCGACTATCTCCAATCTGGTCTCAAAGTATTACCGTAACCGTCCACTCCGCTCTTCACAAGACCTCCTGCTTTCCAGCTCCGTCATCAACTCCTCCCATGCTCGCCTCCAGGACTTCACTAGAGTGTCTCCCATCCTATGGAACTCTCTACCCCAACCTGTCCGTCTTATCTCCCACACTGACTGCCTTTAGGCGATCCCTAAAGGGTCTCTTCAGGGAAGCCTATCCCACCTCAACCTATTCACTGAACAATCACTTTCTCAAACAATCATCCCCGCGCAGCTACCTCCTGATGTATCACCTTGCCCCTCCCTTTTACATTGTAAGCCCTCACGGATCAGGGCCGCCCTCACCATCTTGTCTTAAATTGTATTGTGACTGTAATGTCTTCCTTATATTGTAAAGTGCTGTGCAAACTATTGGCGCTATATAAATCCTGTATAATAATAATAATACAGGGGTGTTGAATTCGTATCACCTGACACCTGAGACATGTAGTTTCGGGCGCCGGGCAAGTGTTTTGTTTTTTTTTACTATTTTACCGCTCGGGCACGGCGGTATTGCAGCAGGAAAACGCGCAATCTGCCTGGCATGACTGGGTGCCATTAGAAAATAATGGCACTGTCAGCACGATCGGCGGTGGTGTGCGATCCGTGACTGCCCGGTCATCGTGCACAAAACCGAGCGGATGGCTGGGTGGTCACGGAATCGCACACCACCACCGATCGTGCTGTCAGTGCCATTATTTTCTAATGGCACCCCAGTCGTGCCAGGCAGATTGCGTGTTTTCCTGCTGCAATACCACCGCGTGTGATCCCACACAATCATGGTTGAAAACACTGCGCGGTGCATGTCATGAAAATGCAACCGCACACGATCGCATGTCCCAGGAATCTGCAGGTCTGCACCAACCCTAAAGGGTATATTCACTTTCCCAAGTAATTTGGGGAAAATGGAAATACCCGCACAAATCTCCCTCCTGCTATACTTGCCTATCGGCGACCGTTCCTTCACATCCAGCAGTACGGGTGTACTATCTGTACCTGTTCCATGTATTCTGAATTTCGCTCTCGCAAATTGCAAGCACTCGTTGGTGAACGCAGTCACCTGACGGCACTGACCAATGAGAAGTGCTTCTTAGTAGAGCTGCAGCTAACGATTATTTTCAAAATCGATTAGTTAGCCGATTTATTAGGTTCGATTAATCGGATAAACAATAAAATAAAGTTTAAAAAAAGGAGAGCATGGATGCGGGCGGGTCTGGCAGCGGCGAGCGTGAGGTGGGGAGGAGGTACGGCGCACAGCGTGTGGAGCTGTGAACAGGGCCAACTGATCGGAAGCCGATTAATCGATTATTGAAAAAGTTGACAACTTTTTAAATCGATTATGTCGATTAGTTGTTGCAGCCCTACTTCTTAGCACTACTAAATACGGTTTTCGTTAAATATTTTTTTGTATCAGGACCAGTAGATTCAGCCCCCGCTTTAGTCCTTGGACAAGTAGTTTTTTCCAAAATGTCCACACCCCTGAAGTAGGATCAGGTTGTTTTTTTTCTTCTTGTACAGGTAGAATTGAACCTTTTTAGTGTTACTTTTTAAAGTGTATGACTAGCTTGGCAAGAAAGAAAATGTCTTGGGTATTTAGCCGTAGATATGGCTATACATTTTGCATAGATCTAGAAAAGTGTAACTATGTAACACAATCAGAATGTGAGCTGTAGACCTTGTAGGTTTGTATCCTCACCTGGATATGGGAGAAGCTTTGGGAAGATGCATTTGTTTAAATTTAGTTTTGGTTTTGAAACCTGCACAAGGACTGTTTCAAGTTGCTTAAAGGAGAACTATGAGATTAGTGCTTTTCACTCACCTCATAGTTCTAGCCGACCTGTGACAATGAGACTGTCAGAGGTCGGCTCAGTAGATCGGGAGGTGAGCGAACACATACCGGGTTCGCTCACCTCTCGATCCTGTCACGGCTCTCTGCC